GCTCAAGGGGCGCCAGAGACACACAGGGAAGAACTGAGCTGTTTGGCACTGGAGCGAGGGCTGGAGAGGGGGTTTCTCTGGGACAAACGTGCTGTCAGAGGCCTTTGTTCCTTTGGTGAGCCCTTCCCTGGGGCGGCAGACAGAAGCCATATCTGGGACTCCCGCAACCTGGCTCACACTGGTAGCCCCGCCCTGGTGACGCCCTGAGGCCCAGCCCCACCCCACCCAACTTTCAGGCCCACCCAAGCTTTTGCCACTTGCTTAACCAAAGGATTGGCCTGTCTTGGATCCTGCTTCAGGTTTTTCCTAAATTCATTCAAACGAGCAACACCTGGTCTCAGCTAGCCCCATACCTCTCGTTAAGTAATACACTGAAACAAACACAGGGAGGCAAAGAAACAGGTCCCAAATGAAAGAACAGAACAAAACCCTAGGAAAAGAACTAAGCGAAATGGAGATAAGCAACCTAACAGATGCTGAGTTCAAAATACTGCTTATAAGGATGCTCAATGAACTTAGTGAGAACCTCAGTGAACTTAGGGAGGGCCTCAAGAGCATAAAAAAGGACCAGTCAGAAATCATGGATGCACAGTTAGAATTGAAGGAGGCATTAACTGAAATAAAGAATAATTTACACAGCTTCAATAATAAAGTACATAAACCCAAGGAGCAAACCATCGATTTGGAATATAAGGAAGCAAAAAATGCCCAATCAGAACAGCAAAAAGAAAAAAGAAGCCAAAAATATGAGGATAGTGTAAGGAACCTCTGGGACAACTTCAAGCATGCCAACATTCGCATCTTGGGGGTGCCAGAAGGAGAAGAGAGAGAACAAGAAATTGAAAACCTGTTTGAAACAATAATGGCAGAAAACTTTCCTAACTTGGTGAAGGAAACAGACATACAAGTCCAGGAAGCACAGAGAGTCCCAAACAAGATGAACCCCAAGAGGCCCACACCAACACACATCATCATCAAAATGCAAAAGGTTCAAGACAAAGAGAGAATCTTAAAAGCAGCAAGAGAAAGGCAGCTAGTTACCTATAAGGGAGATCCCATAGGCTGTCAGCTGATTTCTCAAAAGAAACTGCAGGCCAGAAGGGAGTGGCAAGAAATATTCACAGTGATGAAAAGCAAGAACCTACAACCAAGATTACTCTATCCTGCAAAGCTGTCATTTAGAATCGATGGCCATATAAAGGCTTTCCCAGACAAGAAAAAGTTAAAGGAGTTCATCACCACCAAACCGTTATTATATGAAATGATGAAGGGTCTTTTTGAAGAAAAAGATAAAATATATGAACAAACAAAATGGCAATGAATACATATCTATCAACAATGAAATCTACAAACAAAATGAACAGGTAGAACCGAAACATTCTCATAGATACAGAGAACATTTTGTTGGTTGCCAGTTGGGAGGGGGGTTGGGGGAATGGGTGAAAAAGGTGAAGAGATTAAGAAGTATAAATTCATTGTTAGACTGACAAACCTCAAAGGGAAAGAGGTTGGGGGGGTGGGAAGAAATAAACCAAAGAACTTATATACATAACCAATGGACACAGACAATAGTGTGGGAAAAGGCGGGAGGGGGGCGGGAGTGGGGAGGAGGGGGTCAATGGGGGAAAATGTGGAACATCTGTAATACATTTTACATTCAACAATAAAGATTTAAAAAAATAAATAAATAAATATAATAATAAAAAGGGAGATAGAAAACATAAAAAAAAACAGGCAAAAATGAAGACCACAATAACTGAAATGAAGAATACATTATAGGGTCCTGGCCAGTTTGGCTCAGCAGTTGGAGCATCGGCCTGTGGACCAGTGTCGCGGGTTCGATCCCGTCAAGGTCACGTACCTTGGTTGCAATTCGATCCCTGGTCGGAGTCATGTGGGCAGCAGCCAGTGATGTGTCTCTCTCACATTGAAGTTTCTCTCTCTCTCTCTCTCTCTCTCCCTCCCTCCCTCCCTCTCACTATATCTGAAAATCAACAGAAAAATATCCTTGGGTGACAAATAAAATAAATAAAATAAAACATCACAAAAAGCTTTTCTAAATGTTAAAATCTAAATGCATTTTTAAAAATAAAATGTTTAAAATTGATTTTAGAGAGAGAGGGGATGGAGAAATAGAAAGAGAGAGATCAATTTGTTGTTCCACTTATTGATGAACTTATTGGTTGATTCTTGTATGAGCCCTGACTGGGGACTGAACCTGCAACCTTGGTATATTAGGACAATGCTCTAACCTATTGAACTACCCAGCCTGGGCAAAATCTAAACTCTTTAAAAAAAATTTTTTTTCTTTATTGATTTTAGAGAGAAGAAGGAAGAGGACGAGAGAGAAACGTTAATAAGAGTGAACACGACTGGCTGCCTCCTGCATGCCCCCCACTGGGAATTTGGCCCACAACCTGGGCATGTGCCCTAACCGGGAACCAAACCAGCAACGTCTTAGTTCATGGGTCGACGCTCAACCACAGAACCACACCAGCTGGGCCAAAATCTAAATTCTTTATCATGGTTTTCCAAAATCCTCATTATCCCCAATCTTGCCTAGTTCTGACCCCACTCCTACTATTACTTCCCATAACCCCTCTGAATCAGTTAGTTTTTGTCCCTGGAACATGCTAAGACCATTTGCACAGGAACTTTGAATGTGCTATTTCCTCTCAATGAACCATTTCCCCCCCAGATCATTTATATGACTAGCTCCTTCTCAACTTAAATGTCACTTCCTCAACTGGCCTTTTTTGATTAGTCTATGTAATACTACCTGATTTCCTTGTTTTCATTTAGTTCATAGCACTTAACCAGTATTTGAAGTCATTTACGTGTTTATGGTCTCTCTCTGACTCTAACAGACTACACTGTCATTTCCCAACTTCAATCATTCAGTATATGTATGAATAAATGGTTATAACAAACTCTATTACCCCCAACATAACTACTCAGCCACTCCAAAGCAAGGTGATTAAATTAAATAACCTTTTTCAGAGTTATTCCAGTCAATATTCTGTTTTTAAATATGAGGATTGACATATTTTTCATTGACCTATAAGACTGGTGGGAAAAACTTGGAATATTAAGAACTGATTACATGATAAAATTTAGAAAGTTATCATTTGACAATAACCACATTAATGAGCCCTGGTCAGTGTTCTCAGTGGTTAGAGCATTGGCCTGCACACTGAAGGGTCTCAGGTTTGATTCCTAGTTAAGGGCACATACCTGGGTTTCAAGTTTGACCCCTGGGCCCAATCAGGGCACATGCAGGAGGCAACCAATCAATGTGTATTTCACATCAATGATTCACTAACTCTGTCTCCCCTTCCTTTTCTCCCTTCCATTCTTAAAAAAAAAAAAAAAAAAAAAGTCATCCAATGGAAAAAAAAGCAATGGATTCTAAAATTAGTGGTTACAAAGATGTTTATTGTCAAACTATATCCTTATAAGAAACACAAATTAACTTTAAAATGAAAAAAATAATAATCTTACAGTGAGGAACTCAAGGAAACACCTCCTTAAACATGTGATAAACATTAACATTACAGCCCTGACCAGTGTGGCTCAGTCGGTTGGTTCGATTCCTGGTCAGGGCACATGCCCAGGTTTCAAGCTCGATCCCTGGTAGGGGGCATGCAGGAGACAGCCAATTAATGTATCACTCTCACATCAACATTTCTCTCTCTCTCTCTCCCTCTCTCTGTAAAAATTAATTAAAAAAATCTTTAGTCTGGCCAGTGTGGCTCAGTGGTTGAGTGTCGACCCATGCACCAAGAGGTCCCCGGTTCAATTTCCAGTCAGGACACATGCCCAGATTGTGGGCACAATCCCCAGTGGGGGGCATGCAGGAGGCAGCCAATCGATGTTCTCTCTCATCAATGTTTCTCTCTCTCCCCCTCTCCTCTCCCTTCCTCTCTAAAATCAATAAAGGAAAAAGAATCTTTAAATAAAACATTATCATTACACATGTGATATGTCTCCTGATATGGAGCACTAAAAACGACATGCTGCTCCTATAATATTTGTGCCAAAAGTGCATAATCTGAATCCTATTATGAGCATATATTTTAAAAAGTAAAACTGAGGAACATTTTGTAAAATAATTGTTCTATATGGTTAAAAAATGTCAAGGCTAGCCTTGGTCAATTTGGCTCATTGGTTAGAGTGTTGGCCCAACAACCAAAGGGTCTCAGGTTCAATTCTTGGTCAAGGGCACATACCTGGGTTGCAGGTTCGATCCAGCCCTGGGTGGGGTCATACAGGTGGCAATCATTCAATGTCTCTGTCCCTCACTCTCTCTCTCTCCACCTCCCTCCCTACTTCCCTTCCACTCTGTCTAAAAATTAGTGGGAAAATGTCCTCGAGTAACAATTAACTTAAAAAAAAAAAAAAAAAGGCAAGGCTATAAAAGACAAAGAAAGATTGAGAAACTGCTGTTCCAGATTAAAAGAGATGAAGATACAACACACAATTGTGGATTGGCCCCTGCATGAGCAAAAAAAAAAAATTATTTTGCTATAAAGGACATTATTGGGACAATTAGTAAAATCTAAATGAAGACTTCAATAGATTAGATAATATTACTGTGCCCTTATTTTCATAACCAAATGTCTTCACATTCAGGAAATTCACACTGAAGTATTTAGAGGTAAAACAGCATCATGACTGCAACATACTATAAGTGATTCAGGAGAAAAAAATATGTGAATAGAGTGAAAAAGAGGGAGAGATGTGGTAAAAGTTAGTGTTTGTAGAATATGGTTGATGGTTATTCCTATGTTCCACATTTTAAAATGCTTTCACATACCTTACTCCTTCCTTAGAAGCTGCCATTTTCATAATAACATAGCACAATAAAGTATAAAAGACTTACAATTTCATAACTTTTACTTATTATATCAGAATTTAATATCTTCCCCTCTCCCTTCCCAACCTGAGCACCAAATAAATTACTCCATTTGACTTTCTCAGTGATTTAGAATTATGTTTACCTGGAAAGAATCCATGCAGACTGGACTGGAAGCCAGTTCCTCATCCACAGCATGCAACTTCTCCATGAAAGTACTATCCCTGGTCTGCTTGGGCTTTGGGGGGGGTGGAGGCCCCATGGGTACTACCTCAGCACTGATGTGCCTGACGGCAGGTGTGGTAACTTTCTCAGCCTGATTAAAAGATGCAAGCACATTAAAATATAAACAGAAGGGAGGAAGGGAGAGAGGGAAAAAAATAAAAGAAGCATAGGGAGAGAGAGGCATATCTTTATATGCTAGTGATCTTGCTCTTCCCATCTAGACAGAGATACATTAAAACAAAGGTTCTGTCAAGTATATTAACCTAATTAGGCTTCATGCTATTTCCAATAAAGCCAACAGGATGCTACTTAGGTTACCAAAAGTGGGAAATCTAATAAAAATGACTTTAGGACAATATTAATGAGAACTCAGAAAAGCTCCCTCCCTATCACTGAGTTCAGTTTTCTCTTAAATGTTCCTTGGTTTAAGAGACTTTAAAATTTAAATAGCTATAAGCAGTCAAAAATTTCAGGAAGATACTGGCATGATTACTGATCTTGATTCATGTTTGGCAAAAGGTAATAGTTCAGAATGTATACAGTTATAACTTATCTCTTTCTTATGGTGCAGATATACCTCTGATAATATGCCGCTCTCTTCATCTGTTTCAGTCATCTCAGAAGACTGCCTCAATCTGGATTTCTTTGCCCCACGTGGAGACGAAGCAGTGCTTTCAACATCACTTTCCAATAAACTCTACAAAACAAATCCAGTTCACTATTATATTTATACCTCTACCTTATTCCACTCAGTTTGAAATATCTCAAGAGAATGAATCACAAACTAGCAATCACTCAATTAGTCAGAGTAAGAGAAAATACTTTAAATAGAAGCTTAATACTTTGAAGGTGGGAACAGGAATCATCACATCACTACGCTCATCAGCAACACAAACTTTATAAAATTGTAAGGCATTCATTAAAAATCCTTTTACAAACAAGTCAAAGAAGGCATTAAGAAATAGAATATTACAGAGATAAAAATTAACTATAGCTATAAACAGCAGTATAGATGAATCTCAAAGGATTAATGCTGAACAAAAGAAAGTCAAAAGAATACATACATACACTTTTGTGTACACATACAATACAAACACAAAAGAATACATTCAAAAACAGTAACTATAGTGTGTAGACCTACACATTTAGGTGATATAAATATAAAGAAAAACAAGGAAGTAATTACCAAAATGTCAGGATGGTGGTTATCCTTAGGGGAAGAGAAATGATTATGATCAGGAAGGACATCCTGGCTATGTTATATTTAATGACTTTGGGGAATTTTCATGAGAATTAGCTTTATAATTAAGCTGTACATTTTAATTTTTATTGTATATACAGTTATGCGTTATATTTCATAATATAAGATGGGAAAAATTAAGAGTGTGAAAAAACTTCATAGTCTTGGATTTATGCGAAGTGAGAAGAAAGAACTGTCTCAATCTTCTCTCTAGAACAGGTGACATGACTAAGGAAGAAAATATACTCTGCCTTATTGAACAAAATTTTTTTCTATATTATCAACTAACACTCACAGGGTCACCACTGACCTCTTCAGCAGTCTCATCTTCTTCTTCATCATCTGGCTGGTACTCTTCATCTGAGGAATCATCTTCTTCGAGGTTGATATCCACAAACTGAGGAGGCTTCACAAGTATAATTACAGAAAGAAATAAAGTAAATAGGAAATATAAATCATATATATTTGGAAAATAAGGGGGAAAAGGCAGAGCAGAAAAAAAAAAATCCTAAGAGCACAATGAGCTAAAGCAAGTAACGAGGCAGGAGTTAAAGAGACTCCTAGTAAGAGTCAAACATAGGAGTAACACAATAGGAAAATTAAAGCTGAAATTTTAAGTTTAAATTAAAAGTCCCCAAAATGTTAACAAATAGAAATTACTTAGGTTTAAAAACTGATGAAGTCTTTCAGGAAAAGAATAAGAATTACCTCATCCAAATTTACCTTAATTTCATTGGCTTTCTTAATTGGTGAAATATTCCATGTTGGAATTACCTACCAACAAAGAATATAAGTAATTAAGTTCTCTTAACTGAAACAAACTGTTTTCCATTTTTACTTCCTCTTTACCATTACAAAGAGCCATCTACCTAACATGGAACTGCCCTGAGCTAGGGGTATTGATTATCCCTGAGGGTATACTCTCATATTTGTCAGAGCTTGACAGAAGGTGAGGAATCTATTTCCATCATTAGCATTTCTGCCTTACACCTACTAAGACTCTGTATCTGTCTTGCCTACTGTATTTCACAGCCTTCGTTCACATGGAATAATAAATGTGAAAACTATTTGTAAATTATACTTTTATAGGTGATAGTAGCCTCTGACATCAGTAATTTTTCTTTAGTCAATTACATAAAACTACCATAATTATGCCTCCAAAAAGCCAGCCACAAAAAGTTCTTATGGAAAGATTTAGAGGTGAAGTGTCAAGTTTTCCACACCTTATTTTCAAACAGTACAGGAAAAAACAATAGATAGATATAGAGTTATAAAGCAAATATGGCAAAATTTTACAACAGATAAATCTAGATGGAATACGGATTCTCTAAAATTCTTTCAACTTTTTTTTTTTTTTTATATCCTCACCTGAGGACATTTTTCTTTTTCTTTTTGTTCAGATAGAGTGGGAGGGAGAGAGAGAGAGAGAGAGAGAAATATCGACGTGAAAGGGACACATCGAGAGGTTGCCACCCGCACGACCTAGCCAGGGCCAGGGACAAACTGCAACCGAGGTACATGCCTTTAGCGGGAACCGAACCCGGGTCTCTCTGGACCACAGGCCGATGCTGTAACCGCTGAACCAAACCAGCCAGAGAAACTTTTTTCACGTTTTAAAACAGTCGATTTGCACCTGGCCAGTGTGGCTCAGTGGACTGAGTGTTGTCCCATGGACTGAGAGGTCCAGCAGTGCCATTCCCAGTCAGGGCATATGACCGGATTGTAGACTCAATTCCCAGTACGGGGCATGCAGGAGTCAATGTTTCTCTCTCTCCCTTACTCTCTCTCTAAAAAAAAAAAAAAAAAAAAATCAATAAAAACATTAAAAAAAAATACATTATAAAATAAAATAGCCCAGCCAGTGTGGCTCAGTGGATTGAGCATCGTCGCATGGACTGAGAGGTCCTGGTTTGATTCCTGGTCAGGGCACATGCCCAGGTTGTGAGCCCAATCCCCAGGGGGGGCATGCAGGACACGACCAATCGATGTTCTCTCATTGAAGTTTTTATATCTCTCTCCCTCTACCTTCCTCTCTCTCTAAAATCAATAAAGAAAAAATTTAAAAATAAATAAATAAAACAAAAATGTTTTTATTGATTTTTTAGACGGAAAGAAAGGGAGAGATAGAAACATCGATGTGATAGAGAAACATCTATTGGCTGCCTTCTGCATGCCCCCTACTGGGGATCAAGCCCGAAACCTGGGCATATGCCCTGACTGGGAATTGAACCAAGACCCCTCAGTCCATGGAACGATGTTCAATCCACTGAGCCACACCGGCCGGGCTCTTTTTTTTAAAATATGTTTTTAGTGATTTGAGGGGGAGGTGGGGAGAAACATTGATGTGAGAAGGAAACATCAACGGGCTGCCTCCTGGACACCCCCTATTAGGGATCCAGCTTGCAACTCAAGCATGTGCCCTGACTGGGAATCAAACTGACAACCTCTGGTATATGGGACAATGCTCAACCAGCTGAGCTACACAGGCCAGGGCTAGAGCGAATAATTTCTTGACCATTTTCTTGTGACCCAATCAAAATCATCTTGAACAAAATGTAAGAGGTCACTTGGTTCTATCTCTACAAGGAACCTCAGGTTTTCCATATCTCAGCCCTGCCATGTTCTGGTCACTTATCTAGCTCTGTGTAACTAGGCCCATACAAAGTGCAAAGAAAATGATGTGATTCAGGTCCATATTCCTTCTCATGTGTATTTCTGAACCAACCTAATGGTTGGTAACTCCAATACATTTCCAGATGTTACTTTGCCTTCCTGATGGATTTCGAAGGCAAAGTAGCATCTGGAAGTGTATTGGAGTCAGTCTATTAAGCATTAAGAAGCAAGAGGATCTCTAATCCCACTCTCCCACATAAACTACAGTCTTGGGTTGTTCAACTTCTCTACACCTATATTCATGGTTGATCTTTTATTCCAAAACAAACATGGAATTAATGTTAATTATACTATGTATATCAGGTAGTTTTTATACAACTTCTGTCTCACTGATGTCTCACTCATAGCTACCACATGTTCATTTGTTTACTTCCTATAAAAAGATGACATTTCACTTAATGCAACCAGGGTTAGCTGCTTAAACTAAAAAATATGATGTGGCTATCCAAAACAAAACAAAACAAAAAACCACCCAATGCAACCTCAGGCTACATTAAGAGAAATATAGTATCTGGAATATTGTGGGCATAACCTAACTTTACTCTGTACTAGTTAAAACACATCTAGAGCAATAGATCCCACTTTGGCATACTTTTAAAAGAATATAGACAAACTAGGCAAATTGAGAAGAAAAGGGTGATTGGTGAAAGTACTCAAAGCCTTGTCACATAGAGACCAATAAAAAATTGGGGGACGTTTAGCAAGAAAAGAATATTAGAAAAAGACATGCTAGTTTTCTTCAACTAGAGGAAAGGTCATGTGGAAGAGAAACAGACATTTCTTCTATAAGGTTGCAAGGAACAGACTGGACAAACATAAAACTTATAATATGCGCCCTGGCCGGTTTGGCTCAGCGGTTAGAGCGTCAGCCCATGGTCCAGAGAGACCCGGGTTCGGTTCCCGCTAAGGGCACGTACCTCAGTTGCAGTTTGTCCCTGGCCCCGGTTGGGGTTGTGCGCGAGGCAGCCACTTGATGTGTCCCTTTCATGTTGATGTTTCTCTCTCTCTCCCTCCCTCCCACTCTATCTGAACAAAAATGGAAAAATGTCGAGTGAGGATTAAAAAAAAAAAAAATTACAATATGCATGTTGGGTCCATCTTCCTTCCTCTCAGAGATAGATGGACTCCCTCAGAACTATCACCTGCCTGTCACAGAAGGTAAGCGCAAACTGGACAAGTGTTTGTTAAACAGGATGTAACATAGTTCCAAGCATCAAAGACCTTGCTGTACCAAAATACTCCAGAAGTCTTCAAGTGGTTCTCATACTTTGGTGTACAAAACAAGGAACTAGTGTGTTTTGAACAATACATATTCCCAGGCCCTACCCATGGACTCCAATTTCTAGTTCTGAAGTGAGCTCAAGAATATGCATTTTTGCCCGGCCAGTGTGGCTCAGTGGTTGAGCATTAACCCATGCACCAAGAGGTTGCCAGTTCGATTCCCGGTCAGGGCACATGCCCAGGTTGTGGGCCCTATCCCCAGTGGGGGACATGCAGGAGGAGGCCAATTGATGTTCTCTCATCAATGTTTCTATCTCTCCTTCTCCCTTCCTCTCTCTCTAACATAATAAAGAAAAAACAATTTAAAAAAAAAAAAAGAAGATGCATTTTTAATAAGCACTCCTGAGGGCACCTATACCAGGGTCATTTTAATGCAAGAGGTCCCTGGGACACACTATGAAAAATACTACTCTAAACAATGCCACATATAACATGAATAGAACAACTGACCTCTCATTGCTTTCAACAATTCTAAATGGATATCTACCTAGTACTTCATAAAAAGCATAAAAATAAACTATGATGATGATTTCATATATTCTAGCTTTACTTGTCTTTTATAAATCTTCCTTTAAGAAGGCAAACCCAGACCACAATAAATTTTCTCTATATTTTCCCCCTATAAATAACTGAAATTAGATTTTATTTACCAGCCTAAATAAACAATAAAGAAAAAACAGAACACCCACCACTCCTTTTTCCACCACTTCCTTAAGTTTAGAGCGTGTCATTTTGGGCTCCTAAAAAGGGAAAAATAAGAAGAGTCAATAAAAATCATCATGTAATTCTTGAATTTTGAGATGCTAACTTTGTCTCCAACTGTCAAACTATTTACAGACTTTGAGTGACTTCCTACATTTAGCCAGTTCACAGGTAGCTCTGTTACATGACATTAAAAAAAATGGCAATCAACTACTCACAAACATTGGCATATCTTCAGTCTCACTGATGGCTGCTTTCATCATCGCTACCACATGTTCATTTGTGATTACTTCCTGGAGAAAGAAGAAATTTCATATTATGCAATAGAGATGCGTCATCTAGATAATACTCATCTCTCTGTAATTCTGTTAGACATGTGTAGAGAAATATGAGAGCTAGATGCTCAAAAGTTTCAGACTGGGTTAATGCAAGGCAACTAAAAGCAAAGAAGCAAGTTTTGGACAAAAACACACAGCTTTAAGCAATGTAGCAGCAACTGGACCATCTTATTAGCTGCAACAGGGAATAGGAATGGCTTACATAAAAAGAGATTCTGAAGTAACTATATGCCTAAGAGAAACAGTAATAACAAATGTTTTGTAAATAGCTGTGCTTCTACATATCCAAGAACAATATGTGCAAAGTACTGTAAACTGTCAACTGGGCATCTTTTCAAGCATATTAACCCACTAAAGAGTAAATCCAGTATCAACATTATAATCTTCAAATCTGATAAATAATAAACAATCAAATCAGTGGAAGGATGCCCTGGCCGGTTTGGCTCAGCGGTTAGAGCGTTGGCCTGCGGTCCAGAAAGACCTGGGTTCAGTTCCCGCTAAGGGCACGTACCTTGGTTGCAGTTTGTCCTTGGCCCTGGTTGGTCGTGCGGGTGGCAGCCACTCGGTGTGTCCCTTTCACATCAATGTTTCTCTCTCTCTCTCCCTCCTACTCTGTCTTAACAAAAAATGGAAAAATGTCCTCGGGTGAGGATAAAAAAATAAAAAATAAAAAATCAGTGAAAGGAAGCAGAGGAACAGTTTATCTTCCCATTTAAGCTCTTAACATGTTTTCATATTTCAAATATGTGTTGAGTGCAAAGAGAAAGCTATCTTTTTTTTTCAATCCTCACCTGAGGAATATTTTTCCATTGATTTTTAGATAGAGTGGAAGGGAGGGAGGGAGGGAGAGAGAGAGAGAAAAACATCAATGTGAGAGAGACACATCAATTGGTTTCCTCCCACACGACCCCAACCAGGGCCAGGATCAATCCTGCAACCGAAGTATATGCCCATGACTGGGAACTGAACCCGAAACCCTTTGGTCCTCGGGTTGACACTATAACTGCTGAGCCAAACTGGCCAGCATGAGAAAGACGCTATCCCGAAATGTAACATGTTTTGCCATAGGTAACACAAAATTAGTAATTCACATACCAAGAGTCAAGAATTTCCTGAGTACTTTTATTTGCTTTCCATGAAAAATTTCCATTCCAGTTACATAGCCGTCCCAGTCTTACTCACATGAAGGATGTTTCGCACATTGACTGCTGTCAGATTGTGCTGCTTGGCACCATCCTCTAAGGTACGGTCAAGCATATCATCCAGTTTCGGGTCATAAGCCAAAGTCCCTTCTTCTTGACCCCTTCCATCTCGTTTCCTCTTGGTACCCTTTTTCTTTTTCTGCCTTTTCTCACTGTCTTCATTGTCTTGCTCTTCTGCAAATAAACCAAGAACATCACCAGAATCTCTAAAATAATTGATCCCAGAACTTAACCCCAAAAGGCAACCTGGTAAAAGAAAAACAAGCTGTGAACGGCCTGGCCCTGGAAATCAAAGACTATGATGTGGTAGTGGTGGTAATTGTAGAGGTGGTAGAACTGTCATAGTATTAATACCTAATTTTCACTGAATATTTATTGTATATCAGAAAGTCTTCTACACACTTTATATGTATTCATTCACTTACTCCTCATAAGGAGGTAGGGACTATACTTTTTCCCACTATACAGATGACAAAACTGAGGCTTAGTTCTCACATAGATTTTTAGATACTCTACCCGTACCTCTCTAAAAATCAATAAAAGTATATTTTTTAAATGAAATAAAAGAGCAGACATCATTATAGATCCTATAGATATTAAAAAGATAACAAAAAGCCCTGGCCACCAGTGTGGCTCAGTTGTTTAGGCATTGTCCCATGCACAGAAAGTTCAATTCCTAGTTAGGGCAAATATCCAGATTGTGAGTTTCATCCCCCTCTGGGATGCATACAGGAAGCAGCCAATCAGTATTTCCTTCTCTCTCTCTCTTTCTCTTCCTTCTTCTCTAAGAACTCAATGAAAACATTTTTAAAAAAAAATAACAGCCCTGGCCAGTTTGGCTCAGCAGTTAGAGTGACAGCCCATAGACCAGAGAGTCCCGGGTTCAGTTCCCGCTAAGGGCATGTACCTCGGTTGCAGTTTGTCCCCAGCCCTGGTTGGGGTTGTGTGTCGATGTTTCTCTCTGTCTCTTCCTCCCTCTCTCCCTCCTGCTGTATCTGAATATAAAATGCAAAAATGTCCTCAGGTGAAGATAAAAAAAAAAAAAGATAACATATTATGAAAAATTTTATGCCAATAAATTTGTCAACTTGGATGGAACAAATACCTTGTAGAACACCAATTGTCAAAACTCACTCAAAAGCAAATAGATATTGAATAGTCCAATATCTACTAAAGAAATTGAATTCATAGTTTAAAATATCCTACAAAGAAAGGCCAGGCCCAGATGACTTCACTAGTGCATTCAACAAAACATTAAGGAAGAAATAATACCGATTCATACAAATTCTGAAAAAAATGAGAGAAAGAGCCCAGCCACTGTGGCTCAGTGGTTGAGCACTGACCCATGCACCAAGAAGTCACCAGTTCAATTTCCAGTCACGGCACATGCCCAGGTTGTGGGCCCAATCCCCAGTGGGGGGCATGCAGGAGGAAGCCAATAGATGTTTGTCTCTCATCAATGTTTCTAACTCTCTCTCTCTCTCTCTCTCTCTCTCTCTCTCTCCCTTCTTCCCTCTAAAATCAATAAAGAAAAAAAAAAGAGAGAGAGAGAGAAAAGAGAAGGGAGTGCTTCCCAAAGCATTGTATAAGGTCAATGTTACCCTAATACCAAAACGAGACAAAGACATTATAGTAAAACAAAAAAAACCTATAGACCACAAACATAAAAACCCTTAATAAAATAATTAGCAAATCAAATCCATCAATGTATCAAGAGAGTAATAAATCATGATAAAAGGAGTGCTTTATCCCAGAAATATAATATTGCTTTGAAATTTGAAAATCCATCAGTAGAATTCACTATATCATCAAATTAAAAACAAAACAGAATAAATAGATACACAGAAAAAGCTTTCACAAGATCCAACATCAACTCATGATAAAAACTCTCAACAACTAGGAATAGCAGAGAAATTCTTCAATATGATAAACAACAGCTATAAACAACCAAATGTGAAGGACAATAAATTTCCCCTAAGAGATCAGGAACAAAGGCAAGATGCTGGCTTTCACTTCTCTTCAACATTGTACAGTGTGCAGTAAGATGAAATTGACATATGAAAAGGGAGTGGGAGAGAAAACAGGACGGGGAGGACAAAAGAGAGAAAAATAGAATGCAAAAGAAAGGGAAAAATAAAAGACACAAATTGGAAAGAAAGAGAAAAAAAATCTACCTGAAGATGGCATAATTATCTATGTAAGAAATTCCCAAAGAATCTACAAAAAAAGCATATAGAGCAAATAAGTGAATATATAGCAAGGTCACAAGTTATACCAAAATATACTAAAATCTACTATATTTCTATATACCAGCAATGAACAATTGGAAATTGAAAAGAAAAACTGATATTAGGATAAACCCAGCTGGTGTGGCTCAATGGCTGAGCATCGACCAATGCACCAAGAGTTTGCTGGTTCGATTCCCAGTCAGGGCACATAACGAGGTTGTGGGCCCAATCCCCAGTGGGGGACATGCAGGTGGTAGCCAATTGATGTTCTCTCTCATAGATGTTTCTATCTCTCTCGCCCCCCTCTCTAAAATCAATAAAGAAAAAATATTTTAAAAAAAACACTTAGGTGTTTCAAAAATCTAAGAACATACATTAAAATGTATATGCTGCCCTGACCGGTGTGGCTCAGTGGTTACAGTGTCAGCCCGAAGTCCAAAGGATCTTAAGTTCTATTCCCAGTCAAGAGCACATACCGGGGTTGCAGGATCGATTCCCGCCCCTAGTCAGGGAGTGTGCAGGAAGCCACCAATCGATGTGACCATAGATGCTTCTCTCTCTCTCTCCATCTACCCACCTCTCCACTCCCGCTGACTCCTTCCCTTCCATTCTCTCTAAAAATCAATGAAAAAAATATCCTCAGTTGAGAATTAATAAATATATATACTAAATATTACAAAATATTGCTAAAAATGTAAAAGACCTATAGAGAAAGAAATCTTGTCCATGGATTAGTAGAGTCAATATTGTTCAGATGGCAACTTTTCCACACTGATCCACAGATTCATTACCAATCAATATTCTAGCAGGTATTTTTGAAGAAAATGACAATTTCAAAATTTATAGCCCAATAATCTTTTTAAAAAAGAACAAAGTTTGAAGACTCAAGACTATCTGATAGTAAGCCTAGGTTATATTAAAAGACTATGTGGGCCCTGGCTAGTTTTGCTCAGCGGTTAGAGCGTCGGCCTGCGGTTTGGAGAGACCAGGGTTCGGTTCCCGCTAAGGGCACATACCTCGGTTGCAGTTTGTCCCTGGCCCTGGTTGGTCGTGCGGGTGGCAGCCACTCGATGTGTCCCTTCACGTCGATGTTTCTCACTCTCTCTCCCTTCCTCTTTCTCCCTCCCATTCTATCTGTACAAAAAATGGAAAAATATCCTCCGGTGAGGATAAAAATAAATAAATAAATAAAAAATAAAAGACTATGTGGTATTGGTGAAGGTTAGATACCTAGATCAATGGACAAGAACAGAGTTCAGAAAAGACCTATACAAATATGGTCAAGTAATTTTTTTTTTTTATCCTCACCCGAGGACACTTTTCCATTTTTGTTCAGATAGAGTAGGAGGGAGAGAGAGAGAGAGAGAGAAACATTGATGTGAGACAGACACACCAAGTGGCTGCCTCCTGCACAACACCAATTGGGGCCAGGGACAAACTGCAACTGAGGTACGTGCCCCTAACGGGAACCGAACCAGGGTCTCTCTGGACCGTGGGCCAACGTTCTAACCGCTGAGCCAAACCGGTCAGGGCTGGTCAAGTAATTAAAAAATTTTTTTATTTGTTGATTTGAGAAAGAAAAAGAGTAATTTGTTGTTCCACTTAATGAATTCATTTGTTGATTCTTGTGTGTGTTTTGACTGGGGATCGAGCCTGCAACCTTGGCATATCAGCATGATGCTTTAACAAACTGAGCAACCTAGCCAGGGCTCAAATGATTTTTTTTCATAGAAAAGAGAATCTTTTTTTTTTTTTCTTTATTGATTTTAGAGAGAGAAGAAGGAAGAGGGAGAGAGAGATAAAAACACTGACGAGAGAGAACATCGACTGGCCACCTCCTGCACGCCCCCACTGGGGATTGAGCCCACAACCTGAGCATGTGCCCTGACCAGGAATCAAACCAGTGACCCCTTGGTGCATGGTTGATGCTCAACCACTGAGCCATACTGGCTGGGCAAAAAGAGAATCTTTTCAACAAACACTGCTGAAACAACTGGTCGTCCATATGCAAAAAGAAAAAGGCATCTCAACTATAGTTCACACATTTTACAAAAATTAACTCAAAATAGATCACATCCTTAAACATAGTATGTGAAATTATACAGCATCTAGCCCTGGCTGGTATGGCTAAATTGGATGGAGCATTGTCCCGTACAACAAAAGGTGGCAGATTCAATCTGGTCAAGGCACATACCCAGGTTGCAAGTGTGATTCCTAGTCAGGGCATGTACAAAATGCAACAAATTGATGTTTCTCTCACACATCAACGTTGATATTTCTTTCTCTCTCTCTCCCTTCCTCTCTCTAAAATCAATTTAAAACATTAAAAAAAAAACCCTGCTGTTCTCTGGAGCATATGAAATCTTGCTCCCTGGCAAATGTTGTTTGGCTCAAATAAACTTTTACCAAAGTTCTCTACAAGTTTTAAAAAAACAACTATATAACTTCTAGAAGAAAACAGGGAAAAAAAAACTTTGTGACACTGGATTAGGCTAAGAGTTCCTTTATATGAAACCAAAAACATAACCCATATTCCCTGGCCAATGTGGCTCAATTGGCTGAAGCGTTGCCCATACAACAAAAGGTCATGGGTTCAATTCCCAGTCAGGGCACTTACCCCAGTTGCGGTTAGATCCCTGAGGTGCGTACGCAAGGCAACCCAGATCAATGTATCTCTCTCACAATGATGTTTCTCTCTCTCTCTCTTTCCCCTCATCACCACCTTAATAAACATATCTTGGCTGAGGATTGAAAAACAAAACAAAACAAAAACATAACCCATAAAAATAAAACCTGAAGTAGTTCCCATAACTAATGCTGAAACAATTTAAGCAAAATAAATAATGATAGTATTGCCCTATAACTCAAATCATAAAATAAAATATCCATGAGCCTGGTTGGTGTAGTGGAGCACTGACCCACACACCAAGAGGTGGCTGGTTCAATTCCTGGTCAGGGCACATGCCCAGGTTGTGAGCCTGATCCACTGTGAGGGGCATGCAAGAGGTGGCCAATTAATGTTTCTCTCTCATCAAGGTTTCTCTCTCTCTCCCTCTCCCTTTCTCTCTCTCTAAAATCAATAAAGACAAAAATTATTAAAAAATAAATAAATATCCACAAGTCCATACTTCTATACTCATATTAAAAAATAAATAAAGAAATGAGGAAGAAGGGCCAGCTCTTCTTAATAAAAAAATTCCAATTAATAAATGTTGAAGTAATGAGAGAAATAGAAAATCACCATTAGAACAACACAGTAGTAATTACTGTAGGCGATCCACCTACAATGAATGCTATAATTAGTGGTCAAAAAATTGAGGAGAAACAGTGTATATCCACAGATTCAAAGTATCTCCTGCAAGATCTGTAGTAATTAGAAAAGGAATAAAGGCAAACAACAAATAATGACCAAATAATTGACCAAAAAAAGATCTACAAATGGCAAATAAACACATGAAAATATGCTCTATGTCATTATTCATTAGGGAAATGCAAGTTAAAAACACAGAGAAATACACCTACCAGAATAAATAAAATTTAAAAGTCTGACAACTGCTGGCCAGGATGCAGATCAACTATAAATCTCATACACTGCTGATGGAAATGTAAACTGATACAGTCACTTTGGAAAACAGTTTGGCAGTTAAACACACATTTACGATAAAACCTAGCAATGCCACTCCTAGTTATTTGCCCAAGAAAAACGAAAACATAGTCTATCAATGACCTACATGTGACAGGAGCTTTTGTAATAACAGACAAAAACTGGAAATAACCCAAAATCCCATCAACTGGTGAAGAAATAAATATACTGTGGTATAGCTATGCAATAGAATACTACCCGGCAATGAAAAGGAACACATGTGAATTAATCTCACTTAGTGAAAGGTACCAGATGCAAAAGTCTACATACTGCATGATACCATATATATATATGCAAAACTTTAAGAATAGAAATGAGATCATTGGTTGCCAAAGGCTGAGAATGGAGAACTGCAAAGGGGAATGAGGGAACTTTGGAGGTGAGAGAAACATTCCATATACTCATTGTGGTGGTAGTTACACAACAGTATACATTTTTCAAAAGTCATTGGATAAATTTTATTCCATGTAATTATATCTCAAGAAACCTGACATTAAAAAAAGAAAAATCAAAATAATTCTCCACATTAACAGAATAAGGAAGAAAAACCATATGATATTCTTAATAGAGATGTTTTTAAAAAGCACTTGACAAAATTCAATATATATTAAAACACTCAGAAAACAAAGAAAGAAATTTTTTTCTTAATCTGATACAATATACAAAAAGCCTACAACTGCCCTGGCCGGGTAGCTTAGTTGGTTAGAGCATCGTGCTGATACTGCAAGGTTGTGGGTTTGATCTCTGGTCAGGGCACATGAAAGAATCAACCAATGAATGCATAAATAAGTAAAACAACAAATCAATGTGTCTTTACGTCTCTCTCTCTCTCTCGAAAATCGATTTTTTTAAATGATCTAAAAAATAAAAAAAAAATAAAAAGCCTACAACTATTGTCATACATAACAGGAATACTGAACATCTCCCCCAAGTTCAGAAATGAGACATAGATGTTCACTATCACCACTTCTAACCTACACAGTAATTTGTAATAAAAATAGAAAAAAGAGCCCTAACTGGTTTTGCTCAGTGGTTAGAGTGTTGGCCTGCGGTTCAGAGAGATTCGGGTTCGGTTCCCGCTAAGGGCATGTACCTCAGTTGCAGCTTGTTTCCTGGTTGAGTCGTGTGGGTGGCAACCACTTGATGTGTCTCTTTCACGTTGATGTTTCTCTCTCTCTCTCTCTCTCTCTTTCTCTCTGTCTCCCTCTCTCCCTCCCTCCCTCCCTCCCTCCCACTCTATCTGAAAAACAAAAAAATGTCTTCCAGTGAGGATAAAAAAATAAATAAATAAAATGTTAAAAAAAAATAGAAAAAAGAAATCATAGTTCACTTTAAAACCATTTGTTAAGCCCTGGCCGGTATGACTCAGCTGTTAGAGCGTTGTCCTGAGGACGAGAGTAGTGGGTTCAATTCCATCAAGGGCACGTACCTTGGTTGCTGTTCATTCCCTGCCCCCGTCCCAGTCAGGGTCGTGCAGGAGGAAACCAGTTGATGTGTCTCTCTTACATCGATGTCTCTCTCTGTCTCTCCTTCTCTCTCTTCCCCTCCCACTCTATCTGAAGATTAATGGAAAAATATCCTTGGGTGAGGATTAAATAAATAAACATTTGTTAAGTTGAATAAAAATGTCTATTTACTTATCTGTGTGTGTTATATTTCACAACAAAATATATAGTTAAAAGAACTTTTTTTGCCCACCCACTGTGGTTCAGTGGTTGAGTGTCGACCCATGTACCAAGAGGTCACTGGTTCTATTCCCGGTCAGGGCACATGCCCAGGTTGTGGGCCAAATCCTGAGTCGGGGAGGCATGCAGGAAGCAGCCAATCAATGTTCTCTCTCATCAATGTTTCTCTCTCTCTCTCACACACACTCTATCTGAAGGTAAATGAAAATATATCCTCGGGTAAGGATTTCTTTTTTAAGTTTTCAGGGTTTTTTTTAGAGAAAAAGGAAGGGGAAGAGCAGAGGGTGGGGGAGGGGGAGAGAGAGAGAGAGAGAGAAATATCAATCAGCTCCCTCTGTAAGAGAGCCCACACTGGGGATCAAACCTGCAACCTGGGTATGTGCCCTGAGCAGAATCCAACCTGAGGCCCTTCAATGCACAGCACATTGCTCCAATCAACTGAACCACACTAGATAGGGCAAGAGTTAAATGGATAAAGAAGATGTAGAATATTCTAACAACAGAATACTACTATATAGCAATGAAAATAAACAATCTACAAGTACATGCAACAATGTGGAACAATTTCATAACTATATATTTTTTTTTCTTTTTGATTTTAGAAAAAGAGGGAGAGGGAGTACTTTTGTATACCAATAATATTCTTTCTTTTCTTTTTTTCTTTATTGATTTTAGAGAAACAGGAACGAAGAGGGAGAGAGAGAGATAGAAATATCAATGAGAGAGAACCTCAACTGGCCACCTCCTGCATGCCCCCCACTGGGGATTTAGCCCACAACCTGGGCACATGCCCTGACCAGGAATCAAACTGGTGACTTCCTGGACAATGCTCAAACACTGACCCACACTGGTCAGGCTCTTTTAAAAAAATTTTCATCTAAGAATATGTTCATTGGTTCTTAGAGGGAGAGGAGAGAAAGAGAAAGAAACACTGATGTGAGAGACAAATATCAAATAACCACCTCCCATATGCACCCCAACCAGGAACCAAACCTGCAACTCAGGTATGTGCCCTGACTAGGAATCGAACCCACAACATTTGGTGTATAGGACAACACTCCAACCAAGTAAGCCACCTAGCCAGGGCAGTAATATTCTGTTTTTTTATCTGGCTGCTGTTACACGGGTGTATTCAAACTCTGAAAAGTTAATAAACTTACATGTCTTAGGATATGTGCAGTTTTCTGCATATTATATGTCAATAGAGGGATTTTTAAATTTAAAAAAAAAGAAAGAAAGCCTACCCATTGGAATAAATAGTCCATCATCCTCTATCTCTTCCTCAGCTTGATGATCTGAAGTCCTGAGTGGCTTTCCTTGAGGAGAAGCACAGAAATCTGGCTGAGATGATTTCCCAGGCTGGGCTGCTAGTTTTACAGAGTGGTTGCCTGATGGCAATAAAGGCATCTCTCCTCCAGAATGCATCTGCGGTTTTCCTGGAAGAATCACAAACACTACTTCACACTTTTGCCATTCTCAGTCATTCTCTATTGTAGAAAGCAGGATCTTGTTATAAAGTCCCTTTTAGTTAGATAAATTAATTAATGATGCATATACTATACAGGCATTTCTCCCTCTTAAAGACAGGGTGCTAAGAAAAATGCTGAAATATGTCCACGTCCAATTTACTCATCTGTAATGTCAGAGGGTTGAAGTAGATAACTGCTAGGCTTTTTTTCCTAGCTTTATGACACTGTGAGATATGCATTTTTTCCTATAGAAAAATCAGATTTGTAATTTTAAGAGAGGGGGATATATTACTGATGGCAAAAGGATACTTTATATAGACAACTATTAACATCACATTTAATTAACTACAAATGATGTACGCTATAAAATGTCTTAAACTTTCTGATACTATAAATCAATTTTACAAAACAGAGTAAAAATCACTATAAAATTATTAATATATGGTTTTACAGTTCATTAGACAACTTTTTCCTTTCTCACCCAACTCTTCATGAGTGCTATTTTACTTTTAAAATAAAAATTTTTTTTAATCCTCACCCGAGGACATTTTTGCATTTTATCTTCAGACACAACAGGAAGGAGAGAGGGAGGAAGAGACCGAGAGAAACATAGACTTGAGAGAGACACATCGAGTGATTGCCACCCACTCAACCCCAACCGGGGCCGGGGACAAACTGCAACCGAGGTACATGCCCTTAGCAGGAACCAAACCCAGGACTCTGGTCTGCAGGCTGACGCTCTAACTGCTGAGCCAAACTAGCCAGGGCGTGAGTGCTATTTTTCTTTTTGAGGGAGTGTGTAGCATTAAAAAAAGCAAAGAAACATTCATGCATTAGCAAAAGTAAACACACACAGAATATAGAATATACACAAGAAATTATTAAACAGTGATTGCTTTTGAGAAGATAACTTAAGGAAGAGGACAGAGTGAAAGGATAACTAATTTTTCACTGTGTACTTTCTGTATTTATGAAAGTATTATTATTATTATTATTTTTAATCCTCACCGAGGACATTTTTGCATTTATCTTCAGATAGAGTGGGCAGGAGAGAGGGAGGAAGAGAGAGAGAGAAACATCGATGTAAGAGAGACACATCAAGTGGTTGCCACCCACACGACCCCAAACGGCACTGGGGACAAACTGCAATCAAGGTATGTGCCCTCAGCAGGAACCTAACATGGGACTCTCTGGTCCGTGGAGTGACGCTCTAACTGCTGAGCCAAAACTGGCCACCGCTGAAATTATTTTCCGTATGTGTATTACATAGTCAAAAAGATTTTGTTTTCTAAAAAAGATTAAGTTATTTGTTGCTAAGCTCTATCCAATTACGGTCAAGGGCACATACCTCAGCTGTGGTTCTTCCCCGGCTCTGGTCAGGCCATGTGGGAGGCAACCAGTCGATGTGGCTCAATCACATCGATGTTTCTCTCTGTCTCTCTCTCCCTCCCACTCATTCTGATGATAAATAGAAAAATATCCTCGCCCGGCCAGTGTGGCTCAGTGGTTGAGCATCGAACCATGCACCAAGAGGTTGCCAGTTCAATTCTCGGTCAGGGCACATGCCTAGGTTGTGGGCCCAGTCCCCAGTGGGGGGCATGCAAGAGGCAGCCGATTGATGTTCTCTCTCATCGATGTTTCTCTCTCCCTCCCTCTCTCTTCCTCTCTCTCTAAAATCAATAAAGAAAAAAATGTTAAAAAAAAAAAATGTCCCCGGGTGAGGAATAAAAAATAAAAATAGCCTATTTTAGTCTGGCCAGTGTGGTTCAGTAGTTGAGCGTCGACCCATGCACCAGAGGTCGCTGGTTCGATTCCCAGTCAGGACACATGCCTAGGTTGTGAGCCCAATCCCCAGTGGGGGGCATGCAGGAGGCAGGCAATCGATGTTCTCACTCATCAATATTTCTATCTCTCTCTCCCTCTTACTTCTTCTCTCTCTAAAATCAATAAAGGGAAAAAACATTTTTTAAATAGCCTATTTTATACTTTTGTGAACTGCTATCTCATCAACATTAGCAATTTCAACTGGCATAAAGCATGATTTTAAATTAGAGGACCCTCCCCACTAACAAAGAAAAAAAGCCTTTATTTATTTTTAAATTTGTGGGTTTTTTTTTTTTCCTTTTCTTTTCTTTATTGAGTTTAGAGAGAGAAAGAGACAGAAACATCGATGACAGAGTACATAGACTGGCCACCTCCTGCATGCCCTCCACCGGGGATTTGCCCAAAACCCAGGCATGTGCCCTGACGGGGAATCAAACTGGGACCTCTCAGTTCATGAGACGATGCTCAATCCACTAAGCCACACCAGCTGGGTCAGCCAAATTTCTTAAAAAAAATTTTTTTTTATCCTCACCCGAGGACATTTTTCCATTTTTTTTGTTCAGATAGAGTGGTGGAGAGGGAGAGGGAGAGGGAGAGGGAGAGGGAGAGGGAGAGGGAAACATTGAAGTGAAAAGGACACATCGAGTGGCTGCCACCTGCACAACCAACCAGGGCCAGGGACAAACTGCAACCGAGGTATATGCCCTTAGCTGGAACCGAACCCGGGTCTCTATGAACTGCAGGCTGACACTCTAATCGTTGAGCCAAACCGGCCAGGGCCCAAATTTCTTATAAGAGGCACTTCTGCCCTCGACAGGTAGCTCAGTTGGTTAAAGCATCGACCCAATATGCCAAGGTTTCAGGTTCAAAACCCAGATAGGGTACATACAAGAATCAACCAATGAATGCATATATAAAGTGGAACAAGAAATTAGTATTTCTCACCCTAGCTGTTTTGGCTCAACAGTTAGAGTATGTGCCCTCAGCCCAAAGAGTTTCAGGTTTGATTCTTGGTCAAAGGCACAACCTGGATTGCAGGTTCCATCCCCAGTCATGCAGGAGGCAACTAATCAATGTGTCTCTCTCACATCAATGCTTGTCTGTCTGTCTCTCTCTTTCACTCTACCTAAAAATCAATGAAAAAATATACTCAGGTGAGGGTTAACACACACACACACACACACACACACACACACACAGAAAAATTGGTGCTTCTCTCTCTTTCCTTTCTTCTCACTCTCTAAAACCAATTCTAAAAATTATATGTATATAAAAAAAGAGGGAACTTCTGCCCTGGCCAGTTTGGCTCAGCAGTTACAGTGTCAGCCTGCAGTCCAGAGAGAAGCTCACTTTGGTAGGTAGAGCTTTCATTTATACTTCTGCCACCTAAAACACATTTGGAACTACTCTAAAACTATCCCTATAGTTTATCACCTTCACCACACTCCATATGGAGGAAATGTTCTTTCTCTCTGCAAACATTTTTTTCTCTGACCCCATCTCAATTTAATTCCTCTCCCAAAAAACCCCTTAGGACCTTACTCTTCCTTTCCTCTTATCAATGTGCCAGATGCTGAAAGACCTTAGAAAGAGAAATGGAGAAGGGTAAAAGAAATAGAGAAAGACAAGCTTTATTCAGAGTATATGTATAACTTGTTTACTGCCAGACTAAGAACTGTAAATTGATAACATAAAAATAATTACCTGAGCCCTGGCCGGTTTGACTCGGTTAGAGCATCGGCCCGCGAACCAGAGAGTCCTGGGTTCAGTTCCCGCTAAGTCCTGGTTCAGTTCACATACCTCTGTTGTAGTTTGTCCCCAGCTCCAGTTGAGGTCGTGTGGGTGGCAACCACTCAATGTGTCTCACGTCGATGTTTCTCTCTCTCTCCTCCCCTCCCTCCCTCTCTCCTTCCTAATAACAATAAATAAATAAATATTAAAAAAATAATAATTACCTGAGAACTGTGGAAACCAACTATAAGCTAAAGTTTGTCCAAGTTAAATATTTTTAGAAGGCAAAGAGAAAAAGCATAAGTAGAAATTAGGAAATATGAATCAATTTTAAAAGAACAATTAAGCCCTGGATGGCCAGTTCAGTTGATCAGATGTCATCCAATATGCCAAGGTTGCAGGTTCGCCCTCCAGTCAGGACAAATACAAGAATCAAACAATGAATACATAAATAAGTAGAACAACAAATTGATATCTCTCTGCCTCTGTCTTTCTCTCCCTTCCTTTCTTCTCTCTAAAATCAATAAATTAAAAAGAAAAAAGAACAATTAAGATTATGCTAGGGCTCGGCCAGTGCAGCTCAGTGGTTGAGCATCGACCCATGCACCAAGAGGTCACTGGTTCAATTCCCAGTCAGGGCACATGCCTGAGTTACGGGCTTGATCCCCAGTAGGGGACATACAGAAGGCAGCCGATGGATGTTTCTCTCTCACACTGATGTTTCTCTCTCTCTAAAAAATCAATTAAAAAAAAAAGATGCTTAACATCACTAGTTATTAGGCAAATATAAATCAAAACCACAATGAGATACCACTTCACAACTGTTAGAATGGCTATTACCAATAAGACAAGAAATAAGAAGTGTTGGAGAAGATGTAGAGAAAAAGGAACCTAAGAATTAACTAACTGCCTGTGGGAATGTAAATTGGTGCAGCCACTGTGGAAAACAGTAGGGAGGTTCCTCAAAAAATTAAGAACAAAGCTACCACATAACCGATCAATCTCTCTTCTGGGTATCTACTGGAAATTTTTGAAAACATTTATTCGTAAAGATATATGCACCCCTATGTTCATTGCAGCATTATTTACAATAGCCAAGATACAGAAACAACCTAAGTGTCCTTTGATGGATGAATGAATAAAGATGTGGTACATATACATAATGGAATACTATTCAACCATAAAAAACATGAATGTTGCCATTTGGAACAACATGGACAGATCTTGAGAGTATTATGCTAAATGAAATAAGTCAGGTGGGAAAGGACAAGAACCATGTGATTTTACTCAGGTGGGATATAAAACATAAAGCTCATGGATACAAGAAAACAAAATGGTGGATATAAGAGGGGTGAGGGAGGACAAAGAGGGTAAAGGGGGTCAAATATATGGTCAAGGAAGGAGACTAGACTTTGGTTGATAAGAGTAGACAGAGGTTGTGTCACAAAATTGCACACCTGATATTTGTATCATGTTATTAACCAACGTTACCCCAGTAAATATAATTTTTTTAAAAATCTCTAGATTCAATAGTAGAGTGATTTTGAATCACTACTTAATTATCCATTCCTTCTATAGCACTCTAATTTGTATTTTCCTCCAGTTTCTCCTGTATTCATGTCACAAATACAACTTAGCTTGAAGAAAAAAATTCAATAATCAGTCCCTCAAATATGTTCCCCATTATGAAGGCATGCTTCACCATCCCCCAGTCCAGATATCTTACATCGTAGCAGTCTCTGAGCAATATCGGGTTTTTGTCCAATTTCTAAAATATACTCTTTATCTCTAGCCTTATTGTCAACATCCTCTTCCAATCCTTTCTAAGGTCTTAAGGGGATAACAGCAAGGCTGTGAATATCTGGGATCCACCTTCTTTCTGAAGCCCTGCTACATTCCCATACAAACACAGCACTGCCACATTTTCAGAATGTGCTCTTCTATTTCCACTCTTTCTTCACAACCTATCAAAACCTATCAATCCTACAAGTTCCAATTTCAAAATTCCTAATTACCTGTACCATACAAACAACTTAATCACATATTGTCTTACACTGTTCCAAATGAATTATGTGTTTATGTCTTGTCTTTTCAACTAGATTATAAGCTTCCTAAGGTTAGAACTATGTCTTCTGCTTCTTTTGTGTATCAATTAGCTATCACCTATGGGAAAAGTTCAAACACCTGAGCATGAAAAACAAAGCCTTTCACAATCTAAACACAATCCACCACTCTGAAGTCATCTCTCACCACTTTCTCCAAACAACTATGTCACCATCCTCTTCTGCCTCTGACCTCTGAGCAGACTATTGTTGGCCTATGAAACCCCATGCCACCCGGCTGGTGTGGCTCAGTGGTTGAGTGTTAACCCATGCACCAAGAGATTTCCAGTTCGATTTTAGGTCAGGGCACATGCCCAGGTGGTGGGCCTAATCCCCAGTGGGGGGTGAGCAGGAGGCAGCCAATCGATGTCTCTCTCCCTCTCCCTTCCTCCTTCTCTAAAATCAATAAATTATTTTTAAAAAGAAAAAGAAAGAAACCCCATGCCATCATTAGGCAAACTGCAACTCATCCTTCAAGTCCTAAGGATTATGTCATCTCTGTAAAGCCTTTCTGAGTGTACCAAGCAGTAGTCTCTCCCTTTAAGCCACTGCCCCTCCTCCACAAGCCCACTTCATGCATACTCACCAGATCACAAAAAGCCATACACAGTTCATACCTCCAGACAGGAAAGGATAGAGGAAGGGAAAAAAAGGACACAGAGCCCGGCTAGATGTGGCTCAGTGGTTGAGTATCAATCCATGCACCAAGAGGTTGCCAGTTCGATTCCTGGTCAGGGAACATGCCCAAGTTGTGGGCCAAATCCCCGGGGTGGGGGGCATGCAGGAGGCGGCCAATCAATGTTCTCTCATCATTTTTTCTCTCTCTCTCCCTCTCTCTTCCTTTCTCTCTAAAATCAATAAAGAAAGAAGAAGAAAAAAAAAGGACAAAGGAGACTTAAGAAATGGAAGGGGAGAAGAAAGTCTCCACCCATTCATAAAGTTCACTGCTGACCCTTAGGCGCACCACAGTTCCAATTCCATACCAAATCAGGATCCCCTTTCAGAAAAACTAAATTTTGTAAAGACATTGCAAGAGCACAGTGGCAATGGCAAAGGCAATGCCAAACTGTTATTGACAAGAAAAATGTAGCCTAAAGACTTCGTAAATCTTACCTTCTTCTTCCTTGACTTCTTCACTAGGCTCTCCTGGAAAAGGTTCCTGTGTGGTAAGATGATCACCTCTGTCTTCTTGGGTAACTGGTCTGGGCCTAAGTGTCATTTTCTTCCCTCTCCTTGAGCCAGTGGCATGGAGTTTTTCTTTATCAACGTGTATATTAAGGGACTGGGAGGACTCCAAGGAAGGTAGGGTGATTCCCTTAGAGATGGCCACATCAACTTCTAGAACTGGTACATTTATGTCCTGGCTGAGAACCCTGGAGCTCAAAGATCGATCCTCCATACCAAGCTGATTTCCTGCATCCTGCACAGATTCAACTTCAAGCTCCGCTGCTCTACCATGACTTCCACCCCAGGACTGTGACACTGACCCCAAGTCTTTAACCTGGTCAGATTCTGGTTTAACAGCTGACTGTAGGTCTAAGTCATTCTCCTCCTGGTTGTCTTGATGCTGTGGGAACTCAGTCATTGTAGTTCTTCTCTTCTTACTGGGCAACATTTTAAAAGTCCTACTTTTGTTCCATCCTGAAAGGATAAAAGCAAGTTCTTATCACCTTCATATTGATTATGATAATATTTCCTCAAATATCTTTTCACTTATATTCAACCATGAACACAGTACTTTATACCAAATGCACACTCTTCCATTAGGTGGATGTAGACAGACAATGGTTAGAGTACCTGAGCTAAAATCCTAGCTCTACCACTAATTAGAACATTATTTTGGCTGAATGACTTAACCTCTCTAAACTTCAGTTTCCTCAACTGTAAAAAATAATTGTTTTTTTGCCCGGCCGGTGTGGCTCATTGGATTGAGCATCATCTCATGCACCAATAGGTCACTGGTTCAATTATTATTCAGGGCACATACTTGGGTTTCCAGCTGGATCCCCAGTAGGAGGTATGCAGGAGGCATCCAATGGATGTTCTCTCATTGATGTTTCTATCTTTCTCCCTCTCCCTTCCTTTCTCTAAAATCAATCAATAAAAAAATCAAATTAAAAATATTATAAAGCCCTGGCCAATTTGGCTCAGCAGTTAGAGCATCAGCCTGCAGACCAAGAAGTCATGGGTTTGATTTCGGTCAAGGGCACGTACCTCGGTTGCAATTTGGTCCCTGGCTCTGGTCGGGTCGTTCAGGAGTCAATGTGCCTCTCTCACATGGATGTTTTTCTCTTTCCCCCTCTATCTGAAGATAAACAGAAAAAATATCCTCAGGTGAGGATTAAAGAATATATATATAATAAAAAATTAAGTGGTGCTGAATTTAGAAAGCAATTTTTTTAAAATATGTTTTTATTGCCTAGCCAGTGTGGCTTGGTGGATTTGGCATCGTCCCATGGACTGAGAGGTTCTGGTTCAATTTTCCGTCAGGACACATGCCTGAGTAGCTGGTTCCATCCCCAGTAGGGGGCGTGCAGGAGCTGGCTGATCAATGTTTCATTCTCTCACATAGATGTTTCTATCTCTCTCTCCCTTCCTTTCTCTCTAAAAAAAATCTATAAAAACAGCCCTGGCCCGTTTGGCTCAGCAGTTAAAGCATCAGCCTGCAGTCCAGAGAGACCTGGGTTCGGTTCCCGCTAAGGGCATGTACTTCAGTTGCAGTTTGTCCATGGCCCCGGTTGGGGTCGGGTCATGTGGGTGGCAGCCAGTTGATGTGTCTCTCTCATGTCAATGTTTTTCTCTCTCTCTTCTTCGCCAACAACCCCCCCGGCCCTATCTGAAGATGAATGTAAAAATGTCCTCAGGTAAGGATTAAAAAAAAAACAATAAAAACATATTTTAGATAAGTAAATGTTTTTATTGATTTTTTTAGAGATATAAAACATTGATGTGAGAAACAACCTTCACCTGCCTCCTGTACGCCCCCTACTGGGAATTGAGCCAGAAACCCAGGCATGTGCCCTGACCGGGAATCGAACCAGGACCTCTCAGTCCATGGGACTATGCCCAATCCACTGAGCCACATTGGCCAGGTTAGAAAGCAATAATTTTTTTTCATCCTCACCTGAGGGTATTTTTCCATTTATCTTCAGGTAGAGTGAAAGGGAGAGAGGGAAGAAGAGAGAGAGAGACACACAGAGATACATGGATGTGAGAGAGACACATCCATCCACTGGTTGCCTCCCGCACGACCCCAAGGGCAGGGGGCAAACCACAACTGAGGTACGTGCCCTAGGCCAGAATCAAACCCAGGACTCTGATCCACAGGCTGGCACTCTAACCACTGAGTCAAATCGACTAGGGCTAAAAATAATTTTAAAAAAAATATTGCTTTCACCCTGGCTGGTTTGGCTCAGTGGTTAGAGCGTCGGTCCTCAGACCAGGGATTCGCAGGTTCGATTACAGTTAAGGGCATGTAGGTCAGTTGTGGTTCAGGCCCTGGCCCTGGTCGGGTTGTGCAGGAGGCAGCCAATTCATGTGTCTCTCTCTCATCGATGCTTCTCTCCCCAACCCCAACTCTATCTGAAGATAAATGGAAAGATATCCTTGGGTGAGGATTTTTTTTTTTAAATGTTTTTACCTCATAGAGTTGTTATATGAATTACATAGCAAGTGATTAGTAAGCGTCAGTTATTATTATTACCATCAGGAGGGTAGACTAGCATGATGCTAAGAGTAAACTAAGTCAAACTGTCTATATTTGTTTCCCAAATCTGATTCTCTCCAGCTTTGTGACCTGGTATAAGTTACTTAACCTGAATCTCAGTTTCTTCAGTTATAAAATGAAATAAAAATAGCACGTACATCATTAGATAATTTATTAGATGAATAAATGTTTTCTATTGTTGTTTGCATAAACAGGTATTTCCATTAACAGAAACAACCCCAAAGCAAAGTGTGGTGGTCTAAAGAGGTTAGTCCATATTAACAGAAATTTTGTGTTGTAAACAAGAGACAGATTCCTACTGTTCTCTGTACTATGTTACTTCCGGATTCTTGCTTTCAATTCCAGTTATCACATTTTGAGGGTAACACTAACCTAAACTGAAAGGTAGGTATCTTCTTTTATGTTCTTATAGCACCTGTTTGCAAACCTCTTTTAAAGTAATTATCACTTTTGTGGATTGTCTCCCGTTTGTCTCCCATCTCCCTTCACAAAAACTATGTTTTTTTTTTCCAGGAAAAGGACTCTTTTAACTAGTATCCCTAGTACCAGGGCAGTATCTCCCCTACTGTAGACACTCAATGAATGCTCCCTGAATAAATTAATGAATGAAAGACAGTGTGAACTTCCTACCCTGTGCTTATTTTATGCAGCATTTGGACCAAGAGTTAAGCATTATATGGAAACTTTCTACCAAAAAAAACTTTACTCAATAAAATAGGTACAAGACTAGAATAAGCTACCTGGTATTACAGTGAGTTCTTCATCAATGACAATGTTCAAAGTCTGAATGCCCATCTACCAGGGCACTAGAAAGACTGGATTAGAGGAATGCAAAATAAAGTTTCCTCTTTTCCTTTTTAAATTCTTTCCCCTATTTATTGATTTGAGAGAGAGAGAGATACATCGATTTGTTGTTCTACTTATTTATGCATTCATTGGTTGATTCTTGTATGTGCCTTGACCAGGGATGGAACCTGCAAACTTGATGTATGGCGGCCACACTCTAACCAACTCAGCTATTCCGCTAGGACAAAGTCCTAACTCCTAAGAGTATGAACTTTAAGGTTAATTTTAAACCTCCCTAATTCAGTTTCCACAGGTCACTAGGAGAGACCTCCCCCCCTCTCTCCAATCTACCAACGCCCCTGTCTTCCTAATTAAAGCTCAACAAACACGTGAAGATTCCGTTGATCCCTGTAAGGGAAGGGTGGTGAGTGGGTAAGAGGAGTAGAAATAGCTTAGGCGAATCCTATATTTCACAGATTAATTACTGAGGTCCAGAAAAGGGGGGGAAAATAAGGAAGAAAAGAAAGACAGCTACCATTTAAAATCAGCAGCGTACAGGCATCGGCTCCAAGCACTTATAATACAGCAGTTCTAAAGAGGCTCACCGTTTGGGAACTAGAGTGTGACCAACAAGGTGAAAGAATGCAAATCCGGAGGTAGCCCCAGCGCGAGCCCTTCCTGGGAAAAGATTTCAAAAAGGGGTCCTAACTGCGCTCTTTACCTGGGCGCTGAACACTGGCCCAAGACCCCCCTCCCAGCCAGACACCCTTACACCTCTACCTTCTGTCATACACCCCGCGCCAGCCCTCAGACCCGACCCCCTCAGCCGGGACTTCCTTCGCCAAATGTCCAGCTTCCACTTGTCACTTCCCGCCTCATAGCACACGACCCAGTCCCCTCACCAGAGCCCGAACCCGCGGAAACTCAGCGTCGGTCCCACCGGAAGTCAGCCAGCGGCAGCAACCTACGTGCGCGCACCCGAGCGGCGGTGCGCAGCGTCATGTCGTCAAGGAGCATGCTCCAACCACTAGCCGCCGTCCCGTTTAGGGGCGAGATGAAGCCACAAAGCTATCACGTCAGTTGTGGGCAAAAAAATTAAAATGAAATACCTCCCTCTCTTGGTCCATAGAGCGTTCCTACACCAAACAAAATTTGGGATTGAGATTCAGTGGTTTAACTTGATAACTAATCCTTCTCGGCGTGGGACACCCGGAATACCGGACTAAGGAAATGGAAAATTCAGAAATTTTCAGAAAGGAACCCCTGGGTTACAAATAGTGCAGTTATTTGTAATATTGAGTGATGGACTCACTCTATAGTAATTATTCATATCTGTATAATGCTCTGCCATTTTACAAAATGCTTTCACCAACGTTATCATAGGTGATTTGATTTTCACGATAAACTCTATGGAACAATGTATATTATAATACATTCAAATTTACACAGAACAAATTTCTGGTTCAACTGGGCAGGTGATTTCACAAAGATACACAGCTATCAAGGGGAATCAGGTATACTAAAATTCTAGCTTCTAATGCATTGATCCAAAATCCAGGAGGCATATGCGATCTTCAAAAATTCAACACCTGTGTTTTGAACAAATGAATGACTCTTAGAACCATGTTCTTTCCACTCTTCTAGGAGAGAATGTCAAAGCTGGAAAATATATTCAACTCTGTCATTTTACAGGTGAGCCACCAAGAAATATTTATGTATTTAAATAATCTATTTGACGTAATCCTGTCTGTAAACAGAATCCGACAGGATGAAAGTATCCACAGCCAAAGTGAAGAGGGAGATTGATGTAATCATGGACATAACTGCAAACTGACTCTAACCTGAATCAAATGCCAAGGAAGTCTCTAGAAGCTTGGAGTTTTATTTATGTCCTGCTTTTGAACGAGTATCTTCCCTCTTGCATTTTGAAATGAAAAGTTTTGTTGCTCACACAGTTTCAAATATCAGAGCCTCCAGTTATCTGTGGGTTTGCTCGCGCCGCTCTTTCCTAAGCAGCCTTAAGCACTTGACGTTTTTAGAAAAGAAATATGCAACACTGATTAACTGTGGCACTCTTCATTCGTCTTTTTATAAAAACAGCTTTAATTTACACACCACAAAATTCACGTTTTACTTATATAATTAAATTATAAGTAAAATTTCAGAGTTGTGCAACCACCACGGGTTTGATCTTTAATTAGTTTTAATTACAGTTTCTGAAGTTTAAGAAAGTTTCCATAACCATCAGTAGGCTCATAAATGCATAACTAATAGCAATTGATAATAAAATGCAGGCAGCATAGAATTTTGTTTTCCATAATCCTGGGCTCTCTCTCAGCCAGAACATTCTGCTGCTATATTAAGCCCAGGGAACCGGAATCACGAGATCTATCGCTTCTCATATGATCATATATCTACACTTCTTACTCTTTCCTCGGGGTTTTCAATCGCGGCGATGAGGTCCCCTCCCCGAGATCTTCCGGAAAGAGGCGGGGCCTGTCTTCCGGAACTCTTCGGACAGAGGTGGAGTCTTATGCCGAGGGCTGTTCGGAAGAAGGCGGGGCCTACCTCGCATCAGGACCAGTCTGGCTGCACCTGCATCCTTAGCTCAGAGCATCCCTGGAGCATCTTAAAAGGCAACCGCAGCTGACAACCAGGGACCAGACCGTCGCAGGAGGCGTCCGCAAGATACCTTCCCCCTTCCCTGACCAAGCGCTGTATAGCGGCGGCCTCGGTTCTGATCCGGGGTTCCCAGAGTTGCCTGACCATTGCAAAGGCATTTATAGCAATAGCCTCTAATTACGACATGGCCGAGATCACCAATATCCGACCTAGCTTTGGTAAGTACAGTCGCTCAAACTAAGACTGGGGTAGTCGAAAGCGTTGCAAAGCTGGGGGAGCCCAGCGGCTGCACAGGGAAGAAAGCCCAGATCAGGGTATTCAAGTGCCAGTCCCGCTAGAATCGGGCCTGTAGTGATGGGTAGCAGGCAGTGGTCAGAGCCTGAACTTGAGCTATGGGTAGTAGAAGCTGGGAAGGCTAGAGATACAAGGAGGCTGAGAGGTCCAGAACGCTAAAACCTTGTATGGTGCACCGTCAGCACTGCTGGAGGCGAGAAACAGCGAGCTTACGGAGGATGTGAACCCCTCCTTCTGGGGGAGGAGAGGTGGAGTAGGCCGAGCCCTCCCCCATGGGGCACGCAGGGCGGTGCCCCTTCCTCCCCCTCCTACTCCTCAGGGTTGCGGGGGAGAGAGGTGGCAAGGGGGATGGGGCATCAAGATGGCAGCTTGGAGACTGTGGGCTGTATGGCTGGCAGCCAGGGGAGGCAGCGGCCTCTGGGGAGAAAGGTGCAGGGGTGGGAAGCAAAAAGGAAGCCACTCCTTAAGCCAGTCACCTGGATGATGGAGCTGGGAGGAAACATGAACCCTACAAGTTCTGTTCTGCTTAGTAACGGTGGGGTCCGTCGGATGCTACCAAATGGCGCTTGGTTCTGCTGGGCTGGGGGATGACGTGATGTCTATTTCTGGGCCTCCTGGCAGCGCCAAGGCGCTTCCTCCCAGGCCTTTGTTCCCCGTTCCTTGGGCTGGCTTTTCAAATAGAGGGACTCACCCGCGCTGGTGCTGGAGCTGATGGGGGCCCGATTCAGGCCGGAGGGGGAGGTGCGAGAGAGGCCAAACCCCGGGGAGGCCGCTTTGTGTACCAGAGAAAGCATTACGTCATCTCGGCGCGGCTCCAAGATCTGTTACATTCCTTGGAGCAGAGTGGGGTGGAAAATAGGAAAGACGGGAAATAAAAGCTCGATTAGCAAGTTTTTTCCTCTTAGGGAACTCCTCCAAAACATGCTAGGGTAACACACTACCTTTGCTATCCTTTCCCTGTGCAAAAAAAAAAAAATGTCCTGCTTCTCACTCAATTCTACTATACCAGTTTGGATGGTAGAAGCCAGTGAGAGTTGCTGTCACCCTAGGGTTCCTTCATATTCCTTAAGACATCCTAACCCTCAGGACAATTCAGAAGGTTTGAGCATCCAGTATTTAGGGTGGGGCCACAATCCAACTAGGAAATGGCTTCTCTTATTCCCCAGTAAGAGGTTTATGGAAATGAGCAACTCAGTGTGCTCCATTCTCTCAATATGAGAAAACGTGAGATCAGGGAAAGTATCCAGACAACAGATCATGCCTATTAACCACTTGTTCCCAGTGATTCCCAAGTCTAAATCCTGTAGCATTTCTTTCTTCCACTTCACCTTCTGCATTGCTATTCTTTGAGCCCTAAATTTCCAAAATAGTTGTCCCTTTGGTGATTGCATTCGCACCCTGTGATTTTCTTTCTGCTCTTTCTTTTTCTTCTTATGAATTCTTTTCAACATATTCTTTTTTCTAATTGCAGTTCTCGATTCCTTGGAAAGTGAGATGGTGTGGAGTATAATGTAGTGATTTCCTTTAGAAGGAATATTAAGGGAATAGAGAATATAAATTTATCAGTCTTTTACATACTACATTTTTTTATCCTCACTCGACACTTTTGCATTCATATTCAGATAGAGCAAGACGGAGAGAGGAAGAGAGAGAGAAAAACAATGATGTGAGAGAGACATATCGACTGGCTGCCACCCACATGACCCCAACCAGGGCCAGGAACAAACTGCAACTGAGGTACATGCCCTAGGCAGGAACCGGACCCGGGTCTCTCTGGACCGCAGGCCAAAGCTCTAACCGCTGAGCCAAACCGGCCAGGGATACATTCTACATTTTATTTAATACTCACAAATACACTATGGTGTAGGAATTATTATGTGTATTTTCCAGATGAGGAAATTGAGGCTCAGGGAGATAAAATAGAAAAAGTCACACAAACTAGTGAGGGTAGTGCCAATGTCCAGTTGATGTTAAAGTTTATTCTCATTTCTGTATCACACTAGTCTACTTGACAGAGAAAAGCTATTTTAGTAAAGGAAGTCAATAAGCAGGTCTGGTCCTGGCCAGTGTGGTACAGTGGTTAGAGTGTTGACCTGCACACCAAAGCATCACGGATTCAGTTTTGGTCAAGGACACTTACCTGGGTTGCAGGTTCTATCCCCCGCCCCTGTCCTGGCACATGCAGGATTGCATGGGGGAGGCAACAAATAGATGTGACACATCTCTCTCTCTCCCTCTCCCCACCTCCCTCCTTCCCTTTCACTCCCTCTGAAAAATCAGTAGAAACAAAAATATATCCTTGGGTGAGGATTTTAACAAAATAAAACAAAAAATAATAAGCAGGTCTGGTCAGGGACTGACAGAGTTGGGCATAACTCAGATGTGTCTCACAGGTCTTTCAACCCTTACAGATGGTTTGTCACATAGAGAACGGCTACTTCTGACTTTTTCATGTCTCATAGAGTACTTCATTCAAATGCTTTAGCCCTTGGTAGATACATCAAGTCAACACTCAATTATCCATCACCTTGGAGGATAAAAGGAACAAGAAGCACAGGCCACTGCAATTTACAACTACTTTAAAACACTCACTTCAGATGTTAGTTCCAATTTCTTTTTCCCACCAATCTTTTAACTAAAGCAAGACAGAGCTTCACCATCCCTGATTTTTCTGGTTAACTGTTTTGAGTGTGGGGGAGAGAGGCAGATGTTAACAAATACTCAGTAAAGAAAAAAGTAAGGCAAAGGTGGGAAACAAAGTGGAGGAAAGCACCTAGGTGGTTCATAAATGGATTAATCTGTTTCTCTGCTTTTCCTTCTCTGTCCTCCTGAAAGATAAAAATCCTTCATCTCTTTTACCCATATCACCTGCATTTTTCTAACAGTAAAAGTTGAGGCATGGTAAGCAGTAGTGGATTCCCTCAAGATCACAGAGTACATTTATCGTAGAGACAAAAGGATCACTCAGATGTCTCCCAACATGGGCTTTTAGATCTCTCTTTCAAATTATTCTCCAAAATATAC